CCTGCAAACACCCCTGACATTTAAACTATTACGATTCGTGGATAAAGAGATTTAGTGTGATACGTTTTCAACGAGGAGTCTTGGCCCGTCAGACAGAGATGTTAAAGAGGAAGAAAGGAAATGAAATGGAGACTACAAAGAGGAAACATTCAAAGTAGGACAACTTTAAAGTCCCTCTGAAGTGCCTTGACACTTGCTGCATTATGTTGATGTAATTGACACTGAGACAGGAAGACAGGGTGGGGCATATCTAACAGCTCCTCCCCTTTTTTTAAATAGCCAATAGCGTTTTTTATATATATCACAGGTAGAGCCGTTGAGCTCAGTAACGTCGCAGTTTCCTCCCATCCCTAACCATTATCACTTTAAAATACAGCATTCAGTGCAGTGTTGGGTGTAACTAATTACTGTAATTTAATTACTTTTCCCTTGAAAATGTAAAGTAAGGGATTACTCTTCATTTATCTGTAATTTAATTACTGATGTAATTGAGGTAAATACAGTGTATAGATCAATCCGATCTCGCAGCGTACATTCGTATGCATTTTATGAGGTGTCTAAATATTACGACAGCACTCGTACAAGTTTGTATGAAAACAAGTGTGAAATGTCATGAGATCAGACATAAAACAATAGTGGGTTTAACATCAAAATGTATTGTCTGATGTTAAAAAGTATGTTTTTATAATGTAACCTTCTCCACCTTGGTCAGTTTAAGGATAATTCATGCAATTTTATAGTATTTGTTTGAAAGAATTAAAACAGATTCATGTCTATCCTTCTATTATTCAGCTGGTTGAGATTGGTATGGGATTCACTGTAAAAAAATATTTTCAAGATTTGTTATCACAACATATTTTCTTTTGTCAAAATCAACTTTATAATAATTTATTTAGTTGAGATAAGTTTCTGATGGTTAAATTAATCTCCTTCATTGTATTAACTCACTTTTTCCAGTTCAATGAACTTAAAATTTTAAGGCAACCCAGGTTACTTACTTTTTTAAGTTAAACCAACAATATTTTTTTTTACAGTTTAGTAATCACAACATTTTTTCCCTTGTCAAATCAACTTAAATAATTTATTTAGTTCCGATAACATATAATTTTGAGTTTCTGATGGTTAAATTAATCTCCTTCATTGTATTAACTCACTTTTTCCAGTTCAATGAACTTAAAATTTTAAGGCAACCAGGTTACTTGCTTTTTTAAGTTAAACCATCAATATTTTTACAGTGACGTAATTAGTAATTAAAAGTAATTAAATAATTTTTAGAGAGAGTAATTAGTACAGTAATCTAATTACACTGTTGAAGATATAATTAGTAACTAGTAATTAATTACATTTTTAGAGTAACTGTGCAGAATTCAAAATGGGTCTGATAAGTGTTGTGGTCTGCACCGACTCGACCATATGATCATACAACACTATCTCACGAACAATTCGTACGAATTTGACGCATGATTAAAAAGTGTCTAATTCGTACGACCTCACTCGTACTAATTCGTACGATTTGTCTAAACCCACGTGATGGTTAAGTTTAGGGGCGGGGTAAGGGGTTGGTCATTCGTATGAATTCATACGAATTGGCCAATTCGTAAAATTTGTACAATTTAGCAAAATCGTATTAATTCGTATGAGTGAGGTCGTATCCACTTTTTAATCATTCGTCAAATTCGTACGACTTGGTCGTGAGATCGGGTTGGATCATATGACTTACACCAATAAGAAATGCATGGGCCGATAGTGTGCTTTAAAGAGGTGGGGAGATGCTGGAACTGTTCCAGTTCTGGATTCCCAACCCTAAATGTTGAATAAATAATTGTTTATTATATATGCTGGCTTTAAATAAATACGTTTCACCTTCCTTTCAAGCACAAAAGACAGAAAGTGAATGTTCCTGCATGAACGTTTGAGCGGTTCGCCCAAGCCTGCAGGAAATTATTTGAGCACGTTGAGACATCCTTGGCATGCACGTTACGAACGCCGCCGTCTGTTCAGCATCTCAGCTCTACACGTTCAAATCCTATCAATCAATGTTCGCCGCTCGTCTGAAGGAAGAGGCTGGCAGCCTTTCAAAGCGCTGTGGAAATCTTTCCACTTTGCTGCGCTGCCCATATGGCGAGATGTTCTTGTCGGCGTTCGCCATGTAAAAACTCTCTTTCCACTGTTCATTTTTTCTGCCCTGCTGCCTTTCCCTGCAAAGAGACTTCTCATATTTATCGACTCGAGGTTTACATACTGTATGTCTGGACTTAACACTGACGGGGGGAAATGGTGCAGTGGCCTTTTCGACAGGAAATATTGCAACTTTCACTCTCTCTTAGAGCTCTCTGCAGAAGAGGGACTGATGCGTAGAATTAACCTTCACAATGTTCGTGTTCCTCCGACAAGCCTTTTGAGGTTTGAAAGTCTAATGTAAATAGCATAAGGTCACCGGAGGCTTCTGTGAATTCAAGTGCAGTGTTCCTGGAACATTTCTGAAGACATTCTTACAAAAAACACAAGACATCTGCCGAAGAAAGGACTGGTGTCATAATGACGCATTATTGGGCTTAGAGTTAATGGCTGCAATTAAAGCTATTCAATTAAATGAATGAACAAGATACCAAAGCCACTTTAGCAGGAACAAAGGTTTAGCATCAAAATCCATGTGATGAAAGAATAAAAGGAAAACGTCTCTATATATCTAACTTCGCTTATCGCTGTGGCAGGACTCATTTTCAAAAGTCACCAACTTTTTTGACGAAACTCAACATGAAACTGAACCCATAACGTGACATTTCCAGGTGAGTTTTTGTGTTTGAATTACATATGAGCAGGTTGATGATGTTACCCGAGTATAATTTTTACAATTTAGAAATATTTTAGAAATAAAAGGCCATTTTCCGCCCCGATTTTAGCACTCTTTTTGAAGGGACGTGTCGGCCGTGAGACTTCAAGAGATGTAAACGCCCACTGCTGTGAACATTTTTGCATATGAAATAAGTATTATGTGAAACTCTCTCTAAATGTTTTACTACGTTTTTACTATTAGAACTGTCGAGATTGATTACGGTTGATTACATGTATAGCGTTATATTTAGATTGTGGCATGAAAGGTTGCAGTGATGAAGATTAGAAAGATGACAGCGCAGTGATCTCATGAGTTTCTGCACTCTCATGAATGCTTTTATCATAACTAACAGTGCAAACACAATGTAATTGAATTCACTGGCAAGAGTCCAGTCACTGATAGTTTGATTGACAGCTCCAGTGATTATAAAGGGAGTGTTCTTTGATCGCTTTCTGTATATAATGTAATCACAATTTAAATAACAGATTATTTTCATGGTACTAAAAAAAACAATGTGAAAATGATCATCAAGTCAATGGCTTGATTTACTGATGCATAAACAGCAATAAACGATTTTGAGAATGTCTGACTGTACTTGGATCATATCAGAAATAACCGATCACAGATTATGCATTAGAATTAACATTGATTATGCATTAGAATTGACGGTTACTTAGTAGTGTTGTGGCATTACTGTTGGGTCCATAAAAGACTGTTTTCAAAGCCTGCGCCAAAATTTGACTGATTTACCAAAAGTGAAATGTAATGAACAAACATTCACGTAGTTGAATGCACTATATAAATAATGAATACATAGCTTAAGGGCAGGGCCAAAGACGCAATGATGTCGAATGATCTTACGTCATAAAGTGACAAAATTCACTACTCGTTTCGTTTTCTGAGCTTGGAGTTTTGGGACTAACAAAACCTCTTACATGTCAAAAGATCAAGGACATTTTTATTTCTCAATTCCTTTAAATGTTATTAAGCTCCAACACGCATTATGTGGCATACAGATATTTATAGTTTTGCAACGTAATACACATAAAACGTAGAGCTAAGTGAAATTAATTGTACAAATGTATTCAAGAGAGCTGGCCAAACATTTAGAAAAAAAAAATATCATTAGCAGATTAATCAAAAGACGGTGCGAAAGGGATTGTTTTAAATGACCGTTACTGATAAAAGGCATGTTGGTCATATTTAATTCTATATCACCCTAATTAAAATCTTCGAAACGGTGAGCAATAGACATACAACACCAGCAGCCTCTATTAATAGTCTCGGCTTATGACTTCAGAGGGAGCCGTAACTCTGGGTAATTTTATTAATAAAATCATCTCTCTCCAGAATACCCCTTCCATTTCCCATATCATCCTTTATGGCTCCCATTTAGACATCAGCTCCTCTTTTCCTGGCACACACACACACACACATCTCATAATTACTGCTCCACAATATCTCTACACCACACTATGGCTGGGCAATACAGCTAAAAGAAAATATCTTATATATTTATATATATACAGTAAAGATACTGTATATCACTACCATTGTTTTGGGATGGTTTTCCACACTGTTTTTGCACTTAAGAAGCATGGAGGTATAATCAAATAAAAATAGCAATCCATTTTATACCAGTTATACCATTTTCAAATGATGAATCTGCAAAGTTATCGATTCATTGCAAATGACTGTTTGAACTTTACTGCATTTTTTTGCATCTTGACACTCACAAATCAAAACAGATAAAACAGATTTAAAAATAGCTTTAAAAGTATTGCAACGTTCAATATGTTAATTATCATCCCAAATATATTGTGAATAATGTTGCCCAGCCGTGCACCGCCCAAAATCACTTTGAGTTTCCTAATGTAGCAGAAAAAAACACATGCATATTCCACCGAGGCGATAACAAGATCTTAAGATAACCTGTTTCAGTTTGGCCCTGATCCATATAGACCAAATTCTAGCCTTAAAGCTAAACTTGTGCTTGATCCGTCTTAGTCAACTAGCCTGACGCTATCCACACACTTAAACCATTTGAGAATTGCCTCATTTAAATGCACAGCGCATGCATCTCTCTTGGCATTCATTGTGCTGCATTATATTTTCCCTAGCATAGAAAAATAAGCAGCGAGAGTGCACACGAAAACAAACATACCTTTCCAACGTAAAGTGGCTCGGTCCCGGTGTACTCCTCCACAACGAAAAACTGATTCCAAACCCATCCTCTCTTCACCCTTTCATGAGACATCGCCCATTGCTCAGGACCTCTTCCTGTCGTCCCAACACTAGTCCTTACGGTCTGACCGGACAGCCATCCACAGCACTGCAAAACTCCCAGAGTCACTGCCAAAACCTGAGCTCCTCCTCTCCAGTGGGGAGCCATGTTTGAAGACGCTCTCGTCTCTACATGGGGCAGAAGTTACAAACTCGTTCAGGATGAACCGCCTGATCGCTCGAGAAAAGCTCCTTGGCTCGGAGGTTGAGGAGGGTAAACGAGAGTTCACTGCCGCTCAATGAAACTATAAATCCAATAGGTTTTTGGCCATTTTTTTTCCAATCGGAGAGGTCCTCAAGAGGGCATTTAAGAGGAATCTTTCTTGAGACGATGAGGCAGTCTCGGTGATACACAGCTGTAGCTCCTCTGTGTTGGGTTTTTTCAATCACAAAGCCATTGAAGTCTTATTTCTCCTTCAGTTGAGCTTTAAGTTAAAGAGCTGTCAAAAAACGAAGACATCCATTCCATCGCGAGTCCGGAAATCAATTAACACTCCACGATAGCGGCATTAATAAAAAGGATAAAATCCAATTTCCTCATTTCCATGTATGCACATTTCACATCCAAAAAAGAAATCCTCAAATTTCATAGTGCAAGATGTTACTCAAAGTCGAGGTCGCGGACTCTTTGAGAGTTTGACATTGGTGGGTTCATGTCGACCTCAGCACCAGATCACCTGTAACACAGCAAAGATAATTGATTAGAGGAGCAGCTTTGTCCAGTTGCGATAATCAATAGTGCAACAAACCGCATCGATTCTTGGCGTTCTCATTCTCGTTAAACAAATACATCATTCGATGAGTGCCACAGTGAGTCCTCTCCGACACACAAAGTGGATCTAAACTCTAGTATTTCATCGAAATGCAGCACCTTTCATTTAGGCGATCTACCTGAAAAGCACTTTAGAAGGCAGAAACTTTGTAGTCAGCAAGAATCCGGATAATGTGTTAAGCCCAAGAGCAATGTCTTCTGTGTCAGGGAGGCAGGTGTGGTTGGAAAAGGAAAAAAAGGGAGGTTTATATATCACGAACTTGAGCCCAAAGCATCTGTCTGCCCACGGCATGCGCTTTACACTGGGGGCCGTCTGATTAATTGCATGAGGGAACACTAATTGGATAAAAGTATTAATCAATTAATTCAATCCATTAGAGCAGCAACCCTAATGCTTAAAACAAACACTGGTCAGGAAGGTGAAGATAAGCTACGGCCCTATTGTGCATCAGCCAAAGCGCCATTGGCCAGGAGAAATGATTAATGGTCTTTGAGGCTTTCAGAATAAGAGAAAAACAACAACATTTAGCATTGCTGAAATGTCACAACCTCGAGGCTAAAAGATTGCAGCTCCTGCGGACGAGCGTGGGCCAAGAAAGGCCCTTCAGGATATTGGTTGTTTAACCTTTGGCAGACGGAAGGCTAAAGTTTGAGCCAAGACGTCCACGCTGAAACATCTTGACACAGAAACGACCTTCTAAAGAGGGTAAACAATTAAACACGGGCACTGAGGAATAAAGATTTGCACACAACACTGTGAAAAACAGGACATCGACACAACGCTGGTAAAATTAGCACATACTGTCCCAGACAGCAAACTGACATTGAATCAACGTGGAAACGACGTCTCTCATGACATTGAAACAACGTTGATTTTGCTCATCGAATCAACGTCAGACGCGGCATTCTTCAAAGCTAAATGAAAATCGAAAATTGGTTTGCTTTCATAACGTTGAAACAACGTTGATTTCAAGTTGATTTTCCGTTGGTTTTGAAAGAATGACGCGTCTGACGTTGGTTCAACGTTAATTCGATGAGCAAAACAATGTCAGATCAACGTTGTTTCGATGTCATGTTTTCACGTTGATTCAATGTCAGTTTTCTATCTGGGGTATGTTTATGAGTGCTAAAATCACCTCATTATCAGCCTTTGGGAAGACAGTTAGGCCCGGTGATCTTCTTTTACCGCAAACCGCGAGTATCGAGAGTGACAGGCTAAGCGCGAATGTCCAATGCTTTCGTTGTCGTGCTAAAAATACCATGTGCAATTTGCACAGTAGTAGGTTTCAACCTATTGCAATCTGATTGCCCAATAGCCACACTAGCAGATAGTAAATAGTGAAACACTGAGTGCATTTCAGGATAGGGATATTTTGATATACCAAAGCAAAAGTTGACAATGGTTTTCTGCACTAACCGTTATATATTTTATTTTTTGATGCTAAGGGGTTGTGACATGCGTGACATTTAGCTACGCTTCGACTAGCATCTCAGGTCAAGCGGTGATTCGGGTCACACTTTGCATTTAAATGCTCAGGATGGAGAAAAATGAAGTTCAGCAGAAACAACTGATCCTTAAAATATGTACACAGTTTAGAGCATGGCTGGTTACAAACAGAAAACATCAGAAAGCCCCCCCCAAAAAATGTCAATCAGTCAAAAATTAAACAGCCTGTTTTTCAAACGTAATATTTTTCATGTTTCCAATTAGTGTGAAGTGTTCTTGTCTTAAGAGGCAACTTCAAAGTAATGCTATTTCTTTTTGCCTCAAAGAAAAAACTATTTAGGGCAAGACCAGATTAGTTCCTTTTTGACAATCTAGAGTTTGCCTGACCAAGTACATATGATAAATAATAAACTATTTGTATCAAATATTTTCTCTGGTTGAATGCACTCCTCTGAAGAAGTTTTCCTCAAAACTCTCAACCCTTTGGCGATTAACAGGGGGAAAAAAAATAGCACAACATTTCCCTCAAACTATCCCAGTAAGCCTCTCGTTGTGCGCTCTTGAAATTTTCATGATGAGTATACACAATTCGCCGCTTGTTAAGATGTGGTATGGAGCGTAAATTAATTGACTATAAGGGTCTGGCTCTTCAGGGTTGGCCATTCTCTTGGCTAAGTAGAACGACGTCAATTAGTGAGTTTCTGTGGAAAGGCTGGTCGCTTAAAGTCTAGCAACATAGGCCGGTGTGATACAGTCGTAATGCCTCCGCTACCACCCAAAACGCTATTGGCAAGCCGGACGCACTCATTCGTGACCTATTAGGTCGTGGATTGATTATAAAACATGGCTGCTACTTTTCATCAGACGCCAGCCAGAGAGCAGAGGCCGTGACAGTCGGCAACCGGAGCCAGAGAGGAGACTGATCACCGGCGAGTGATGGGCTTCAGGCCAGAGACCTCTCTCTCTCTCTTCCGACAATCTCCTTTTCACCTGCACGACATCCATCCTTTTAATGGGAATCACCGACTGCCTTTTAGCCGCTCCCGCACAAACAACCACGACGCTTGCGAGGAGAAAGCACTCTCATGTACTGTATGTTTTGCTTCCAACTTTGGAAGAGCCGGACCGTCTTTGTCAAAACCGTCAGAAAAGATCCAAAAGATCAGACTGATTAAAATCTGGGAGGGTTTTAAAAAAGAAAAACAGTATTTGGAAACTAATAGCCTGAGGTTAATAAGCAGAGCTGGCCCTCTTCTTCGGCTGTGCGATGTTTTGATGTGTGATCCGATTATACGTTTGCCAAGCACTCCCCCAAGCATGTATCAGTGCATGAAAGCTCTCATCAAAGCCAAAGCACATGGACTTCTAATGACTGTGGTCATTTAAAATGAAACCACAGCCGGAGTCAAATTCCCACACCTTGACTATTACAATCCGACATTTCAAAATTACGTAGAAAGGACATTTGACTCATAATAATGGGTGCAAAAAAAGTCAACAACAACAAATTCATTCAAGACTTCACTTCAGTAATATGTTGCATTTCTCCAATTTTGGCTAAAATATGGACAAACCCAGCAACTGGATTTGTCCATATTTTACCCAAAATTGGGTTAAAACAACCCAGCATGAGTGAAACTAAACATCCAATAAGCTAAATAATGACATGATTTAATAATCACCATCCACAACTTCTTTCAATAATCAGTAAATAGATATTTGACTATTGGTTACCATTAACCAATGACTAGCACTGCCTAGTTAGCAAAAAGAAAAGCCCAGAAGGAAAGATCATTAAAGCAAAGTAGTTTGTTCGTACACACTACACACTACAAATGCTGGGTTGTTTAAACCCAACCTTTAGTTAAAAATGTAATTAAAAAAATGTAACCCAATGGCTGGGTTTGTCCATATTTGACCCAAAGTTGGGTTAAAACAACCCAGCATGTTTTACAGTGAATGGTCTGTAATTCATTCAGTCATTGAACATGCTATTTCGGTGTAAACTAAATATTTGCACCATAGTTTATTACACTCTTAAAAATGCTGGGTTGTTTTAACCCAATCTTGGGTCAAATATGGACAAACTCAAACATTGGGTTAAAAAATGTAATTTAAAAATGTAACCCAATGGCTGGGTTTGTCCATATTTGACCCAAAGTTGGGTTAAAACAACCCAGCATGTTTTATAGTGAATGGTCTGTCATACATTCAGTCATTGAACATGCTATTTCGGTGTAAACTACACTCTAAAAAATGCTGGGTCGTTTTAACCCAATTTTGGGTCAAATATGGACAAACCCGAAATGTTGGGTTAAAAATGTAATGTAAAAATTTAACCCAACAGCTGGGTTAGTCCATATTTGACCCAAAGTTGGGTTAAAACAACCCAGCATTTTTTAGAGTGTAAATATTTGCACCATAGTTTATTACTGTTTATTAAAGTTAAAGTTTATCAATTTAATTTAAAAAAATGTGTATTGCACTTATTACCATACACTCTAAAAAATGCTGGGTTGTTTTAACCCAATTTTGGGTAAAATATGGACAAACCCAGCCATTATATTAAAAATGTAATCTAAAAATGTAACCCAATGGCTGGGTTTGTCCATATTTTACCCAAAATTGGGTTAAAACAACCCAGCATTTTTAGAGTGTATCATTTAACATGCTACTTCACTCTAAAAAACGCTGGTTTGTTTTAACCCAATTTTGGGTAAAATATGGACAAACCCAGCCATTGTGTTAAAAATGTAATTTAAAAATGTAACCCAATGGCTGGGTTTGTCCATATTTTACCCAAAATTGGGTTAAAACAACCCAGCGTTTTTAGAGTGTAAATAGTTGCACCACAGTTTTACATTTTAATAATAAAGACAGTAATACATTTAAATGAATAATTGAATAGATTTTAAATAATGATCAAATATTGCACATCGGGGTATTTGTTCATCAATTAAGCATCATTAATTTTAATTACCAGAGGGGAGGCTTACAGCTATATACGGTAGACGATTATGTAGGCTACTAGTATAAATAAACCCCCAATTTGTTCTCTCAAATACAGCTGCTCGTCAAAATCCACTCAGTATTAGCGGCGCATATAGAAGTTAATCATGCCACGCACACAAATCCAAATATTTGGGAATGCGGCATCAATTATAGCAGCACTCGCAAACACCTGGACAAGCCTGAATACCTCCAGTGTGGCTTCGCTCCTCCATTTGGCTGCGACTCTGAGCTCTAGAGACCAGCTATTATGCCCTGGAATGGGGATCCGGTTAGAAGTAGCCCCTGTCCAAGACACGCTGTTTCCTTGGCAAGTATAGCGGAGCGTGTTGTAGGGCCGGAGCGGAGGGGGTGAGAGTGGACTGGATTGGCAGACTATGGCAGCTGTAATGGATTGAGCATCAAGAGTAAATGGTGCCGTAGCGAATGCTGCCTCTCATTAAGCCCCG